AGAATATTCTTATCACTGAATCTTGAATCAGAGCTTATAATCTTACTTCTCTAAATTAATAATTTCTTTAATCTAATATTCTCTTTCACTCTTTAATACTTTATAAACAGAGTAATAAGTTACAGAATTCTCTTCTGAGAATTTCTTATATTCATAGAGTAAAGAGATATAAAAAATATTGTATATTTATAACTCAGATAATAGTTTTAATCTATAGAACTGTAAACTAACTTTCTTTATAATCTTATAAGACTCTGTCTGTAAGAGATTCAGCTTCTTACTAGATCTTTATATAATACTATTTTTCAGACTTAGTCAGACTTTATTATCTTTCTTAAAACTCTTTATAATATACTTAAAGTTATAGTATCTATTCTGATACTCTTAAGTCTTTCTCAAGAATTCATAGACTTTCTCTTAGATATTCTGAATTCTCTTAGTCTGTTCATAGATATCATTGTACTCTATAGTATACTCTCACAGATTTATCAAGATTATCTGTAGATAAGTCTCAGTGAGTATCTTAAAGAGAGTTTTATCTGTACTGATATATTTTAAGTTATTATATACAAACTCTGTAAGTAATAATTAATATACTTAGTTATTCTAATTATACTTAATAAAACACTGTAGATACTTTTTTAATATACTTATTAAATATTCTATCTAATCATCTGTCTATTAATAAAAAGTCATACTTAAATCTTATAAGATCTTCAGTATAATTATCAGATCAGATCAGAACTTCTCTATAAAGATTAATTCTCTATCTGAGATAATATTTATAAGTAATTCATATAACTGAATTACATCATAGATAAAGATATAAGTTAAATTCTTTGACTTTAAGTTTCTATAAGTGAGTATAAAGTATACTATCTTGATAAAGTAATCTACTATTATCAGCACACTGTTAAATCAGATATTATATATATTCTTACTTTCAGAGAGACTTATAAGAGTGTTCATTTCTAGCTGTTTTCAAGATTTCTGTAAGATGAATAGAGAAGTAAGTTCTTTATATAGTCTGAACTGTACTACTTATAAATTCTAATAAATAGTATAAGAATTTACTATCTTCTTCATAAGTTCTTATATCTTTGATTAGAAGTATTTTCTTATAAGTAACTTATAAGTTCTAGTATCTATAAAATAATCTATTAGAGAAGAGTTATAATATCTTTTAATAAGTTCTATATATAGAAACTCATTTATAGATACATAAATTCAGTTTTCTCTTTATAAAAGACTATTTAAGTCTCTTTAATTCTTTATTTCTGTAGAATTAATCTCTGTTATAAGCAGTTTTCAAATATACTGAGTATATTTATTCTTCAGTTATAGTTCTGATAATTTGAATAGAAGATCTTATAAAGACTTATACTCTGTTATCTTTTATATCAGATCTTCTACAGTGCTTCTCAAAGTCTGTAAACTCTAAAGATTATAGATACTCTCTTCAAGAATTCTTACAGAGATTCTCAGAGTGTTAACTCTCAGTATTATAGAGAGTAATTATACAGACTTCTTCTCTCTCTTCTTCTTCTTCTCTTATAGAGAATTGAGACACTCTTTAGTTAATCTCTTTATAATACTCAGATTGAGTATCTTATAAAGCTTTTCTATCTTCTTTAATCTCTCTATGTCTGTTATTCTGATCTTCTTAATATAGTCAGATCTGTGAGAGAGTCTATCTACTGAGTTCTTAGTTTTCTTAATATACTCTATCTTGAATCAGAGCCCCGGTGGCTGAATGGTTAATGCGGCCACTCAGTAGCGCCTTGGCGTGGGAAATCAAGGCGCGTGGGTTTGAAACCCGCAGGGGATATATTAAATCCGGAACTCAAGCCCCTCAGGTTTCTAATAAATACAGAGGTGTACAAATCTCTTCAATGAATCACTCTATGTTTCTAGACTAGGAAGTTATTATTGCATGTATTTAATTGTCACTTCTTTGTATTTTCCTATGTTCTTGTTATCTTGATATGATCTCAACATCTGTATTTCCTCCTGTATAATCAAAACTTGGCCTGTATTTAACATCACGCAAGGACTCATCATAAGCTCCGCTTGTATATGAGTATAATGAAAGAATAATAATAATAATAATATCTTAAATCAGAACTTACTCAGTCTCTGAGTTCAGTGAATCTGCTACTGCAAGAGTTTCTTAATTGAAGTAAACTATTATAAGCTGTTATAATCAGTTTTAATAGTAATCACTGTTCTAAGACTCTTAAAGTAGTAATATCAGTGATAGAAGAATTTCACTATTATAAGATGCTTCTGATTATAAATATCATAGTTAATCTTCACAGATTGTATCTTCTATAAGAAAAAGATCATTAAAATCTAGTTCTTATTTAACTGTAGTTATGAGATTATTTCTGAAATTATAAAGAAAAAGATATCTGTCTTCAATCTAATTAAGAGTAAGAAATTAAAGTGAAATAGTATTACTGTATCTATGAATATCTGTTTTAATCTTATAATAGTCTTATAAGCTTCTAAAATAAGAAAGTTCTTACAGCTCTTTCTTCTTAATAATCTTTTTATTCTTTATTTATAAGATAACTTCTTCTTATTTTCATTCTTCAGTATGTCTGTAAGAGCTAAGAAGATTCTTATAAATATAAAGATAAATTATCTATAGAAATTTATAAAGCTTAGAAAGATTTAAATCTTATAAATACTAGTTAACTTCAGTTATAATAGAATAGTCTCAATTTATAAAGATTTTATCTGAATATTATCTGTGATAATTATGTATTCTAGAAAATTAATTCAATAGATACTGAAGTTATACTTTATAAGCTTAATATACAGTTCTATCTCATCTAAGATCTTTAACATAGTTTATATATACTCGGTGTGTTCTTTCTTCTTTATAAAGTACATTATCACATTATTTAAATATATTATTATAAAGACATTGAGATATATATAAAGTATTTTATTAATAAAAGACTGAAATACTGCAGAGATATTAGTTAAATCAAAAGATATTACTAGATATTTAAATAATCTCAGTGCAGTTTTAAAGACAGTCTTTTATTCATTCTCAGATTGTATTTACAGCTGTGTATATATATTAATCATATTTAGTTATGTGAATATAACAGCTGTTATAAGATAATTGATTACATTCTCAATCAGAGACAGAGAATAGCAACTCTTTATAGTCTTAAAGTTCAGATTATAATAGTTTATATATAATCTGAAATCTTTATTCTTCTTTTTTATAAATATCACAGAGACTTCTGCAGAGATCTGTGAAGATTAAATGAAGCTATTCTTCAGATTCTTCTTTATATAAGTCTGTAAGATCTCTGTCTTATGATGAGAGAGCTTATAGATTAGTTCTCAGAAGAGTTTCTATTCTTCTATTAAATTTATTATCAGATTCTTCTTATAATGAGATAAAAGCTCAGCTATCTTAACTAAACTGAATATTTCTATAAAATCTTAGTATTTCTCTGATATCTGAAGCTCAGTTTTTATGACTATGAAGTTCTCAGATATTTACAAAGTTATTATATAGATAAGCTTATCTTCTCTAATTAACTCTACAGTATCAACTGATTCTATCTCTATAAGTAAGTAGACTGACCGTGTGATCATGTCTGAGATCAGAATCAGATTTTTTAATAGTTTCATTATCAATTCAACTAATTCTATTACACAGTTTTAACATTAAATAGTAGTTTCATACTGTCTCAGTGAGACTTACTGTCTACTCTTATTGTATTTTTCAAATGAGATTATGATTTTTACTTCTCAATTTAAATTATTTTTATTGCTTTAAATGACTTTAAATCTCATTTGAGCATTACTAAAAAGTGTTACTTTTTAAAAAATTAAAAATAGTCTAAAAAAAACCTTAAAATGTCTAAAAATAGTAACTTTATGTCAAGAATGAGACTAAATGAGATCAAATGAAATCACTTTCTCATTTTTTTCAAGTCATGATTTCATTTTAAGATCTGATATATAGTCACTTTGCATGTTTTTTTAATGACTAGTCTCAGCAGGATTCATACTAAGAAATGTATGAGATCAGATCAAATGAAATCAAACATAAAATTCATAGTCTCAGTAGTTAGTCTATAAGTAAGTCTATTAACACTGATCAGAAGTTTAAATCTAACTTATAAATAGCTATATACAGATTATATCTTTGAAGTTATACAAGTCTTAAGTATATATTATCTATGATATTCATAATAATCATAGTTTTTATAAATCTTCTTCAAGTTCTGAAGAGATCTTGTAATTTAAAGATAACTCTTATAAGTCTCTCAGTTCTCAGATCTGAGTTCTCATACTCTGCTTATTATAAGAGTAGATTCTCAGTTTTCATCATTCAGTTCATTTACTCTGTAAGCTTTAGAAACACTACAGTAATCTGAGATTCTAAGTTTATTAATACTTTTCATACTTGTGAGATAATAGTATTATAATACAGTCTCTTCTCATAAGTATATATTTTTATTAAAAGAGTAACAGATTCAGATGTCAGCTTCAAGACTCTGAAGAAGACAGTTACTAACTCTGTTCATAACTCTTTAAATTTCTATTTTAATTTATTCAGACAGTTTATTTGCGGAGCAAAGTGAAGTAAATATGATGAAAACTCTGATTATTAAAAGTGAAGAATTTTCTTTTTAAGGTTCTTAGCGCGAATACAGCTTACTGATTGATATAGAATTAAGTGAAGTGTAATTCTGTAACATTGCACTATTATATTATCTACTCTGTACAGATTGTTGAATAGATAATATATCTGATTAACAATCTACTCTGTACAGATTCTTGAATAGATAATGCATCTGATCAATCATCTCTCATAGATTCTCAAGAATAAATAATATGTCAAAAGTCTGTGTTCACTGCTTGCAAAACCAGTCTCTTGATTAATTCATTTCTTTACAGTGTTCTACTACTTCTACAGCTGTATGTCTTTAATATCACACTCAGAGAACTCAGGTATTATAATCTTCTCTCATTACATCTTTTCTATCACTGATTATCTCTTTACACTGTGTAGAACTGTAAATGAATCAGACAAGTCAACCGCTCCACCACGAACTCGCTCGATTTTTTGAATAAGAACCCGCCGATAGATCCATCGAAAAGCCCTCGATCATACGAGCATTTTGACCCCATCGCCGACCGCATACCCCGTGTGGTGGTGGAGTTATCCAGCCAAACGTGAACCAGACGTTGTTCAAAACTCCTGTGTGGGATTATCCCCCGTTCTCCCCTACCACACCACAACCCCGGGCCAAATTGCCATACAAATTGTAAGGTGAAAAGACCTAGCCATATGCACCAATCTTCTCGATTTTGGAAGATCCCCGATCTGTAATTGTGGAGATATCTGAGGAGCGACATCCGCGAAAACCCTGTCCATCTTTGATGTTCCAAAACATCAACGCCAAGTCCCACCCTCGTACCGCCCTTCCCAATCTGGCCCATCCCCGGCAGAAAAATACAAAAAGATACCTCGGCAATAATATCAAGCACATAATCAACAGACACTTCTGAAGTGCAATCTCTGTGAATACTCTGTCTGTCTTCAGTGTATCTAGACATCTACACCAAGTCTCACCCTTGTACCGCCTCTCTCAATCTGGCTCATCCCCGGCAGAACAATACAAAAAGATACCTTGACAACAGTACTTGATACATGGATATCATTCTGAATGCTGGAGAGAAGCCACTGAAGTGATTCTTGCAAAACCTAATAGAAAAACTTCAATTCCTAAGTCATATAGAGTAATATCTCTATTGAACTGTTTAGAAAAGGTTTTAGAAAAGATAATAGCTACTCAACTATCTTTTATAAGCTCTATAGATGATTCTCTTTTATTCAGTGAATAAATGAGAGATAGAAAACAGTGTTCTGCAATTGACACTGTTCTCTCAGTTGTTCATGATATTCAAATAGCAAAGCATGAGGGTCTGGTCTCAACTGCAGTTTTTATTGATATAAAAGAAGCATTTGATCATGTTTCAAAGTCAAAGTTAATTCAGACATTGAAGATATTAAAACTGTCACTTTCTCTAATAAAATGAGTTAACTGTTTTATATCTAAAAGAATTATACAACTCTTCTTTGATGGAATGAAATAAGACAAGACTGAGATAAAAATAGAAGTATCACAGAGATCTTCAATCTCACTCATTTTATTTGCAATATACACTGCATATCTATTCAAAAATAGAAATATGAGAATAGTGTGATCTCTGAGTTATATGGATGATATTGGTCTAGTCTACAGCTCAAAAACTATTAAAGAGAATTTGAAAGTAATTGAAGAAGCTGTAAAGGAAATCTTTGTTAGAGCAGATATCAATCAAATTCAATTTAATATGAATAAAACTGAGTTAATTCATTTCTTTTCTAGATTCAATGAGAAAGAACTATCTCTAACTCTTTTAAATAGAGAGATTAAACCCAGTATAAATGTCAAATGATTAGAAGTATGGTTAAACTCCAAGTTGAATTTTAAATATCACATTCAACAAAGAACTGTCAAGGCAGAAAGACTATTGAACAACATAATCAGACTATCAAATACAGAGAGAGGTCTATCCTTCCAGGCTATGAGATAGTTATATATAGCCTGTATTATCTCAGTAGCTGATTATGAAGTTCAAGTTTGATGAAATAATCAAGAAAATTTCACTGAACTCTTTCAAAGTCTGTAAAACAGAGCCTTGAGAAGAATTCTGAGAGCATTCAAATCATCTTCTATTAAAGCAATGAAAATTGAAGCTTTAATTCCTTCTTCTGCTATTAGATTTGAAAAGGCCTGTATGAACTATGCTCTGAGAGTTGTAAAGATGAGCTTAAATTATATAATCAGAGAAAGAGTCTCTTCTTCATTTTCATCAATTAACTCTGGAAATGAACTGGATTGAAATAGATTTCTTGATTGAAATGAAAATAATTCTTCAAAGAAAATGCCTTCTCAACTGTACAGACTATGCTCTCTGATTAAAAATCAATTTTCTTCTTTAAATGTTGAAAAAGTTGATCATGAGAAGTTATCTCTCTGAATAGAAAAGCTTGAATCTCTTATAGACTTATAAATAAGTGAACTATCAAAAGAGAAAGAATATGAACAGCATTTGAAGAGAATTTCTACAATCAATATAAAAGACTCTATTCTGATTTATTCAGATGACTTAAAAAATGAGAACTTGAATAGATTAGATGCAGGCATTGCTTATACTGAAGATAATATTAATTTTATCTCAGATTTCTGGAATCTAGGCTCTGAATGTGAAGTCTTTGATGCTGAACTATTTGCAATAGTGAAAGCTTTCAAACTCATTGAAATAAAATCTTATAAAAGAGAAAATTGTTTGAAAGAGATATGAATATTCTCTGATAGTCAAGCTGCTTTAAAAAGACTTAGAAATAGTCAGATTCATAATGATCAAATGAATCTTGAACTGATCTTAAACTCTGTTTTGAAAATTCAAAAGAGAAGAATATCAAAGCTGATAATTCATCTGCACTGAGTTCCTACTCATATGAATATTCATGGCAATGAATTGGCTGATTCAGCTGTAAAAAAGGGTGCAGAATTAAGCAGATCTATTCAAAAAATTATATTCTGATCTTTTATGAAGAGAAAAATAAAAGAATCTTGTTTAGATAAGTGAAATGAAAGCTGGCAGAAATAAAAGAAGAGTATACATTATTCAAGATTTGAAATAAAACCCAAGTGAAAATCTTGTTTAATTAAATGTAAAAAGAAAATATTCTCATCTATAATACAGCTGAAACTAGGACATGGCTATTTCAAATCTTATATACAAAGATTTGATGATAGATTTGACTTAATAGAATGCTCATTCTGCAATACAAATGAGAATCCTGAGTATATTGTAATACACTGTGCATTATACAATAGTCTCAGAGCCAGATTGAAAGAGAAGTATGATCTAAATTAATTAAATATGAGATTCTTATTCTCAACTGAGACAGGAATTAAATACTTAATAGACTTTCTATCAGAAACTCAAGCAGCTATAAGAAAATAGCTAAATTCAGAATTATCTGAATATGAAGAGGAGGAAATTAATCAGATATAGTCTGTTAAAACAGCTATACACTCTCTTTTAATAATTTGTCTTGTTATAGTCTCTCTTTACTTTATCTTTTTCTTTATCTTTTCCTTTCAATTTCTTTCTATCTATCAATTTAATGTGTCTATCTTTGAGACTGTGTTCTTTTTCTCTTTTCTTTTGTCATGATATTGTCAAATGATTTCAAAGTATCAAAAGATGTTAAAACACTGTAATTTGTAAACAGTTTTTGTATTCTGAGCTAGAATTTTCTGATTTTACTTATCTGAAATTGATGAATGTATAATAGTTAACTTTACAGACATAGAAAAAACCCTGAGAACTAAAGTTCTCAGGTAGATGTTATAGTCTCTGACTGCATACATCTATAATTGAAGAATAATAATAATAATAAGTACTTGATATATAACCAGTGAATAACAAGTCTACAGAACAAGTCAACAGCACATCAACAACTATAAATTCAGTATACTTCAAGGTCTGACTGAGCCTTTGATCCCTGCACAGTGAGATATATTAAATCTAGTTTTAATATCTCAATATTCAATAGATTCTGCAAGAAATTGAGAATAGTAATACTAGGTTTCTATTGAATTTGAGAATTAACTCTATATTAATATAATCATTGACAAAGTCTTCTATTTTGAGATATAAATAACCAGTTTCTCTACATTCTGCTGATAATATTTATATTATTATATAGAAACAGACTTATATTCTCTATAATATCAAGACTCTGAAGAGGGAAAGTCTTGATAGAGAGTATATATGTAAGAGGCCTACGCCGATTAGATCGGTATAATATTGATAGGTCTTATATAACAAAGATAAAAACGCTAGAGAAGGAAAGAAAGAGAAAGTGCGAGAATCAGCGATCGAGGTGGATATTTATACACATATGTGGTGGCGTACGCGGTGGAGCTTCGGGGCGGAAGAATATACGCGCGTTCGTAGCGGCCGAGGATCGGCGATCGAGAATGGCCGAGGATCGGAGCGTACGTGGAATCTGTGGAGTGTAACGGAATAGTCTATATGATTGATCGGGGTGGCGGCCGAGGATCGGCGATCGAGAATGGCCGAGGATCGGAGCATACGTGGAATCTGTGGAGTGTAACGGAATAGTCTATATGATTGATCGGGCGCAGCCCGCCACAATATAGTAGTGTATATCTTAGCAGTTTCTATCTCATTCTTCTGCAGCAGTTATTGCAAAAAAAAGATCTTAGAAATAGTTTTTTACTTCTCTTGAAAAAATAAGGTGTTTTTCTCTGAACTTTACACAATATTCTTACAATTAAAAACAGAGCTGTTTTCTGTTATAGTTTCATATTCTTTTAAGAATTACTTTTTCAGTGACTGAAGAGCTTTCATTAATACTTAATTCTTTTTTATACTCTTTATTAACTGATTTGAGTTGCACACTTGTTGTGTGAGAAGAATTGAATGATTTAGAATAAAATTGAATAGTTTTAATCAATTTCTCTGCAAAAAATTGATTTATTTTTTATCTGTTTTTCTCTCAAAAACTGTCATATTATCTGATTTATTATCAATTAATATCATACTTTTCCTCACTGTATTCCAAGAAAGAGATTGTAAAGATTTTATTAATTTATCTTAAAAATTAATTTTAGTTTATTAGATTCTCTTCAAAAATCTAATCTAGTTACTGAACTAGTGTGAAAAAAATCAGGTGTTTTATACACAAAAGTCTTTTATTCTTCTTTTGAAACAGTCTGATCAACTTTTCAATTGAAAACAGACTTAAAAACCTCTTAATTGAAACAGTCTGATCAACTTTTCAATTCAAAAGAGTTTAATAAATATCTCAATTGAATCAGTCTGACCAACTTTTCATTGAGTAAGAACAATGAGTTCAAAAGTACACTCAGTTGATGTGAAAAAACATGCTTTCTCAAATGCTATTCCTGAGATTGAAATTCTGAAGAGAAGAAAGAAAGAAGAAATAGAGAAACAACAAGTTCTTGAAATACAGAAACTTGAAAAAGCAAGCAAGATTCTTGAAAAGCAGTGTCTGAATGAGATGAATAAAGAAGTTCTGTTAATTCTTCATACTCAGACTAGACAACTACAGAAAGTAATTAAGTTCAAACTTGGAATTTCAAACACAGTTCTAAAAACTTTGAAAATTTCTAATACAATTACTGATTCTTCAGTTTACTCTTCTTTCTTTTCTACTTCTTCTTCTTCTTCTTTAAATTAGAAGAAAACATATACTCAAGCAGCTGAATCTGCTATCTCTAAACCTGCTGTCTCTAAATCTGCTGTCTTAAAATCTGCTCAAAATTCTGAGAAAACTGAGAAGAATACTGCTCATACTTCTATTAATAGAAGAGTGAGAAAAAAAATGTAAAAAGAGAAAAATCTTCAAATCTCCAGAAATAGAAGACTTAT